AACCAAGTCTGCTGGAAAATAAAGAGAATTTATGATTATTTTCACCTCCAACAAACATTTGCTTGGGAGGGAGAACAGCTTTGGAGTGTTGTGATTTATCAGTGAAACTTTAATCTTCGATGTGGTCCACGGCAGCAGATAAGCTGCACAGTTAAAGAAGGGAATCAGATTTTTTTTTTTTTTTTGCCTGACTCAGAAACAAGTCTGTTTTTATAGATAAGTAGCCATCAATCTGGATCAGCAATGAGGTCATTAAAATATAAAACAAAGAAAGCCTCACATTTTATTTAAAAAAGACATGTAAGTACACATCATTCAAAAGACTTGGAAATGCTTCATTTTACTGACATTTGTTTATATTTACTGCTTTCAGCAGCCTTCAGTTCATGTTTACACATTTTCAACATACTCTGATCTGAACACATACAGTAGATATATATAAAAAAATCAATTCATGATATTTTTTTTCACCCTGAACTACATCCTTTGGGAATTCACATTTAAGAAATCCACAAGGCTCCATCTTTTGTACGGTGTAAAAACATGTGAATCGCATTTCACGGCTTTCAAAGAAACAGAGGCACTGAGGGCTGTTCTGCAAGTTGTTTTTTTTTTCTTTTCTTTTTTTCTCCTTAGGTGGAACGGTGTCCTGCCTCGTCTTGGTTTTTCTACATTTAATGTTTCAATTTGTTATAAATGTCAAACCCCATTGTGGGAGTGTTTTATAAAGCAAAATGTGCCCCTGCTTCCAGAGATCTTTGTGTGAGACCTTCGGAGCCAGCAGAGGGCAGTTCAAGGCAAACTGTTTGTGCTTCAGCTATATGCAAGGAGGAGTCACAATGAGATAGCAGTGATATCCTCTGCATTACAAGCACCAAAACCTATTTGCATCTCTGCACAACGCGAATAGATGATGAGTGGATTAACTGCTTAATCATTTGAAAGGCTTTAAACGTACCATGCAGTGGTTTAGTTTTCTTCCATTAAGAAATACACATTGATAAGGAAAACACTGGTGGGTGAGGACTTGTAGATTTTTATGTTTTTAAGATACAAATCTGAAAAACACTGCTAGTTCTGCTGTGTGTATAAACAAGAGGGAGAATGAAGCTGATTGGTTGGGATAAGGCCCTGCCCACCAGCTTAGGTACATCCATAAGGATATTTTCCTTATTTAGGTGTCCACTATTTGAAGAACAAAAAACATCATTTTGAAACAGGCTTTCAGAATGGAAAGGTGTCGAGACGTTTTGTGTTTCTGTACCTGCAAATAAACTGTGACCTTTCTGTTGACGTCTGTAGTTTATATCAGTTAGTTGTTATTTTCTTTTTACATCCCTCTTTGCAGGTGATGAAGCAGACTGGTGGAGTTTTGTCACTCTCTCTTTTGTCTCCACTTTCTTTCACCTTTTCTCCCCTTTTTTTCTTCTAATTTCTCCATCCTCTTCTACTTTGTCAATGCAGTGTTCATATAACATGAATTATTTCCTTCATAAATCATAATAAAAGTATTTACATATATAAATCAAACAGAGCACTATGGCAAAAGCTATAATGCTCCACTTGTGAGAGTAAAATTGGTTGTGCTCTCTTTGGTATTAAGACAACAATTCTTATTGTCACATTGGAGATATAGGACACTATTACCAAAAAAAAAAGAAGAAGAAGAAGAAATTACGACTTTGCTCTGTGTCTCTTTAGCCTGCAAATGTGTGTACCTGTGGTGTATTTTTGCAGCATTGCCACAGCTCCAGCCTATAGAGCCTATGTGCCACAGCATCATCAGTGGTGCTTTCTGCATGTTTTTTTCCTTATGGATTTTGAAAAAGAAACTGTTTTTAACTTTGTGTGGAAAGTAGACAGGATACATTTGACAGATTTCAGGTCAGAAGCATTTGATTTACATTTGGAGCCATAAGGTTTTCAGTTTCATGTGTTGTAAAGTGATGAAGACTAACAGATTCTGCTGTGGAAGCGATATTTAAATCCATCCACCTTCATTAAGTTTCTCCTTGTGTTTTATTGATGGAATGTTTTTTGTAAACCCATGTTGTGTTTTTTGCAGCCATGGGAAGTTTGAAATCTGGCAAGAAACAAAAAAACAACAACAAAGAACATATGCATGAAAACAATTTCCTTTTTTCCCCAACATATTCACGTTCTTTGATGTTACCATAGAAATGCACTTACACTATCTTGAACAAGATGCTTTCAATAAATATCAAAATAAAGCGGAAATAAACTGACCCAAGCTGTGTAGTAGGTGACCAGATAGAGAGAATATATTAAAAGGATGCTTTTAACCTCAAAACACTGAATCAGAGAAACATTCTGATGCTTGATCAGTTTTAGAATCAGTCTCATTAACTTACAATAACACTGAAGGCTGGGGTTAAATATATTCACATATTCACACTAACTTACACTGCGCATCATATTACAATGACTATAATTTTGGTATTAAGGGATTTTCCTACTGACAGAATTCTCTAAAGACCGAATCCTAACTTCATTTCTTCTAAATTTGTGCTTTTTATTTTTAGTCATTATGATTATCGTACTACTGTGGCCCAGAGGTGTCAACACTAATACAAAAGCTTCAACGCAAATGCAAAAGCTGCAACATAAACACAAAAGCTGCAACGCAAATACAAAAGCTGCAATATAAACACAAACGCTGCAATGCAAATACAAAAGCTGCAACACAATTACAAAAATTTCAAAACAAATACAAAAGCTACAACACAAATACAAAAGCTGCAACACAAATACAAAAGCAACAACACAAATACAAAAGCTGCACGCAAATACAAAAGCTGCAACACAATTACAAAACCTGCAAAACAAGTACAAAAGCTGCAACACAAATACAAAAGCTGAAACGCAAATAGAAAAGCTGAAACGCAAATACAAAAGCCGCAACACAAATACAAAAGCTGCAACACGAATACAAAAGCTGAAACGCAAATACAAAAGCCGCAACACAAATACAAAAGCTGCAACACGAATACAAAAGCTGAAATGCAAATACAAAAGCTGCAATGCAAATACAAAAGCTGCAACACAATTACAAAACCTGCAAAGCAAATACAAAAGCTGCAACGCAAATACAAAAGCTGCAACGCAAATACAAAAGCTGCAACACAATTACAAAACCTGCAAAACAAATACAAAAGCCACAACACAAATACAAAAGCTAAAACGCAAATACAAAAGCCGCAACACAAATACAAAAGCTGCAACGCAAATACAAAAGCCGCAACATAGATACAAAAGCTGCAACGCAAATACAAAAGCTGCAACGCAAATAAAAAAGCTGGAACATAAATAAAAAGCTGCAAAAGATATATATAAATGCTGCAACAGAAATATAAAACTACAATGTAAGTTACGCAATAGTTGGTCATTATGCAAATATACATGATATACGTAGACGCTTAAATGGACGCTGTCGGCAGACCCCTTAGATCTCATTTTAATCACATGAAAGATGAGTCAGAGATAATATCACAATAATCTCTTACATGCAACAGCCCGTTAAAAGACCAAAACTAATTCTAAAATTACCTTTCAGTTAGATTACACATATTTATTTAGATTATAAATATTTAAACTGACCTCAAACTGAATGAAATATATGCAAAGTTATATATTTTGCAATTAAATATTAATATGATAAGCACAAAATTATATATTAAAATATTCCAATAAGGCGTCTACGTATATAATGTCTATGTGTATAATGACCAACTGTTGCGTAACTTCAATTGTGGTTTTTATATTTCCGTTGCAGCTTTTGTATTAGAGTTGCAGCTTTTGTTTTTGTGTTGCAGCTTTTGTTTTTGTGTTACAGCTTTTGTATTTGTGTTGTGGCTTTTGTATTAATGTTGACACCTCTGGGCCACCGTAATCATCAACCCTTCATCAGCCCCAATCATTTGAAAACTTTCTGCAGTCACCCAGCAGCTGTCAGCAGGGGAGAAAGTTGGTGTAAACTGACCAGTGCTGTTGCAGAGACTGGTGTGACAAAAGCTAAACAAAAATGTGCAACAACTGACCTAATCCCCCCCCC